AATTCAAAGTCCAGGCACAGACGGGGACGCGCAGTGGAAGTGTGGGCTCCAGACAAAGATGGTGATTTAGAGAGACAGCCCAGATTCTAGCGTTTAGTCTCGGCCATTTCATGTGTAGTTATCCTTGAAGTATATAATAATTTTGGTGATCTTTTTCGATATGTCCCCTATTAGCCACTGAAGTTTCTCTCTAAGGGTGTGGTACCTGTCTGGTTTGTTAGTTTGGAGATCAGAAAGTTCTGTTTGTGACTGGACCCATAATGAAATATTTTTGCATGTATCTCCAGAATGGAATTTGTTATAAAGTATCTTTACTTACAATTAGGGATGCACTGATCCGATACTGTTATCAGATATCAGCACCGATATTGAAACATTTACTGGATTGGGTATCGGCTTCCAAATATCGGTTCAGCCAATATCCTGTCCAGAGAAATTTCTTTATATTATTGTATTCTTCTGTAGTTACTTGAGAAATAGATAAAAGTTACATAACACATTTGGGTAGTTTTTTGTCTTATTTTATTTTTGTTCATTTGTTTATTGTTGTTGAAGGCAAGGCAAGGCAAGGCAAGTTTATTTGTATAGCACAATTCGTACACAAAGTAATTCAAAGTGCTTTACAGAATAAGAAATACATTAAAATCATAATAAAAATAAATCAAAACATAAATAATCATGAAGATTAAAATAAAAAAAGAGAGACATAAATTGGAGAGAAGAGTGCGGAATGAAAACCTTTCAGTTATATGCACATTTAAACAGAAATGTTTTGAGTCTGGATTTAAACAGCGTCACAGAAGAGGCCTGTCTCACATGTTCAGGAAGACTGTTCCAGGTTTTAGCTGCATGAACCTGAAACGCTGACTCCCCTTGTTTAGTTCTGACTCTGGGCACCAGCAGGAGGCCGGTCCCTGAGGTCCTCAGAGTGTGAGATGGTTCATATGACACTAACATGTCACAGATGTACTTTGGTGCTCGGCCATGGAGAGACTTGTACACAAGCAGAGCTGCTTTAAAGTCTATTCTCTGAGGCACAGGAAGCCAGTGCAGAGACCTGAGCACAGGACTTATGTGCTCGTACTTCCTAGTTCGAGTAAGGACCCGAGCTGCAGCGTTCTGGATGTTCTGCAGCGTCTCACAGCTCGTTTGGAGAGACCAGTGAGCAGAACATTACAGTAGTCTAACCTACTGGAGACAAACGCATGGATAAGTTTCTCCAAGTCTGATTTAGACAGTAAACCTTTGATTTTTGCTATGTTTTTTAGATGGTAAAAGGCTGCAGATGTTATTGATTTTATGTGACTGTTAAAGTTAGTAAAGAAATAAATGCTGTTTTCAGTCTTTCATTGGAATTGTTTGATATCGTACTTAAACATATAGTATCGATATTGGTATCGAAACTTAGAAAGCTGGATCGGTGCATCTCTGCTTACAATAACTTATCCCTCAATTAAAATACACATAGACCCCCTTAGTATGTCTCTCACTGTGACACCTTTGGACTTGGATTTTCCTCTCTTATTTGTCCATTTCTTTCTATGACCTTTTTCAGATCCTAGTTTGCTTATAATCTTTATAATATTAGAATGACGCAGCACGTAAACTTGATCTGTATTGAAGCTGATTAGGGAGCTGGGGAGATAGTGATGGCTGATAGTGGGTGTAAAGTGAAGGAGAGAGACGGAAACTTATTAACAGTTCTTATCCACATATAGATCATTGAATATCTCTGTGGCCTGCAAGAACCCGACCGCCCACCCAACATCTGATCATTACACGTCATTAGAAGAGCAGGTAGCGACGAGGGACGTGTGGATGAGCACCACGGTGGCTGGGAGACATGGAAAAATGCATGTAAACAGAGAGACAAGGCAGGCTAGAGGGATAGGATAGGATGGATCTGACCGGAGGGGGATTTGTTGATCTGAGGGTGTGGGTGGACATTTGTGTTATTCATGCATGAATAAGAGGAAATGTATTCTACCTTACGGCTCTGTATTTATTGGCAGGTTTAGTGTCACACAGAGAGTGGCAGGCCCGGTCTGCAAAGGTGTAATAAGCCCTCACAGACACACGTCCTTTGGCTTGACATGTAGCCATCGCTGTTCTGCTCAGCTGTCCAAACCATCATGTGTGGGAGGGGGCGCTAGAATGCAGGGGAAGATGGAGAGGAGGCAATAGACCGGACAGAGTATGCAATCTGTACGATGAATTTTACATTTTGTTGCAAACTGTAAAATCTATTGAGAGGTAATGCTGACACCTGGCTTAAAGGTCCTACATTATGCAAAGTTGATTTTTGTGAGCTTTAAGCATGTTATAACACTGTTCCCTCCTCAAAAACATACCTGGAGTTGTGTTTTCTTTCATTCACACATGTTTGAGTAACCCTTTATTCTTATTCTTTGTCTACACCTGCAAAGTTCAAACTGCTCTGTTCCACCTTGTGATGTCATGTAGTGGTAGTTTTCAGGTTAACTGCTACTTTTTACTTTTAGTTCAGTAGAGATTGGCAATTCCTGGGCTAAAATTATCCAAATGATTCTAGTGAAGGCGTATGGAGTTTAAAAACACTATGGAGCACTTTCTCTGTTACCACATAACATCACAAGGTAGAACAGAGTGTTTTCTGTTTGAGAGAAAAACTCAGCCTAAATATGCAGGATTTGTGTGTTAAAAATGTGTGAATAAATCTAAACACAACTAATGCAGGTCATTTAACATTGATTGTGGATGATCTTTAACACTTCGATCTGTCAGCAAAAAAAAATCACAGATAAAAGAGTCGTTATTGTTCAAACTGGGATGTAGTGCGGTGTGCAAAGCAGTGTACCATTTTACAAAACCAAATAAGCTCAGCAAAAAAAAAACAAAAAAAAACCTTTGGCCCAATGTTGACTTTCATTAATATTTCACCAAAACACTCTTTCTGAGCTACAAACCAAACAGTTTCTGCCAATTTGAATCCACACAGTGCACTCTATTAGGTGTTATTTGTACTACTAATATTGCCACTACTACTACAACATTTTCAACTGCTACAACTGCCCACTTTGCCTAGTATGTCTAATTGTTTTGAGGATTCAATTTCATTCCCAGTTAAATATGTTCTTTTAAATTTACTCAGAAGGTCCATTATGTAGTCCATAAATGACTTGTGTAGTAAACCATGCAGTATCTTGTTACATCTTAGCTCTGCGGTTGTGCTGTTTCTGCTTGTGTGTATGTGGGGAGAGATTGAGTCAGAGGAGGGGACTGCAGTATTCCTCCAGTGGGAAGCATCGATTTTCCCAGCCCAGTGTGGGGATGTGGGAAATGTCAGCCTCTAATTGAGTTGATAAAACCGTTTTGAGTTTCAGACGTAAATATGGCTCCCGCACCAAAAGGCTGTGGCGTGGACAAGTCCCATGGGTGGGCTAAGGATGGGTGAAAGAGCCCCTCGTGGCTGTGTTGTGTTAACATGTGCATACACTTAGCATGTACTGTTTATAATGCACCAGATGATATTTGAATGTTCCGACAGGACACGAGGGGCGCTGCGCATTGACAGCACTTTCATTGTGAATCTGGACACAAGCTCATCAGATTGAATGGTTTTGTTGTGGGCAGAAATGGACAGGCAGAGAGAGAGAGCGGCAGAGGTCATTTCCATTAGAAGTGCAGTGAGTGAATAAAGAATTGGCTGAATGGGGCCGCGCTGCCAGAGCTGATTAGCAGATTGCTATGCAGAGAGAGCACATAACTTACCTGCTGCCGTCAATAGAAATCTCCTCCTAATATCAGCTCTGAGTGGGTCAGAGGTGCTCTCTATTTAAGCTTTAAATCATCGGACATGATCGTTACTGCAAATGAGATGTAAATAGTGTGTTTTTTCTTTTTGAGAAATAACATAAACAGCAATGACATTTATTTTTTTTTTTTACTTCACAAATTTTGGTGGAAGCATCTCAAAAAGTCAATTAATGTAGTATTGGTTCGTTTCTAGATAGTAATAAGCTCAGGTATTTTCAGAAATGTGAACTCCACCTCTGTACATCTTTCTATTTGTACAGAAATCACACATCATGTGATTTTTAGCCTCATTGACACACATGAACCAAAGATTATCTATGTCTCTTTCTACCATTAAGTTGCAACTTTTGCCTAATCAGTTTGAAAGTCGCAACACGTCAACACATAAGCCAGTGAGTATCTATAGGGCCTCCTCTCTAATTATTCATAGTGATAATGAGAATTTCACACATTACTCCATGGCACATAGACACAGCACTGCCTCTGCTTCTCTCACTTTCATATGTAGACACACACACTTGTGGCAATGCCTACTGGTAATTAACTGACATAATTAGGCAGACAACCATTTGTATAGGCCCGCACATACACACACACACACATGCACACACACCTCCCTGGTAATTAAGAGTATTAATTACCAGCATAGCTGTCCCTGTGAGGCTCCGTATCACTCAGTGCCTGGCACACAGCAGGGCTCTTATTGCCTTATCTGTGCTCACTATCATGTCTCTCTTGGTGCCCGCACTTGCACACATGTACTCCCAAATACTCTCCTGCCGGAGAAACAAATGGCGCCTAATTAGTCACAGACTGATGGCTGGCCATAGGTTAACTTCTGGTAGCCTGGGACTTTGAGAGAAGTGAAAGAGCTGAAAAGAGGCACAGATGAAGAGCAGGGATTTGTTTGTGTTTTCAATATTTGTAGTTCATTTTGTGGCATAAAATTGGCAGCAACCGTCAAAGAGTTCATTGAGACCATCTGCACATGGTAATCTCCCTTCAATGTCTGTGTGTAAGCCAGAGTTCATTAGTGCTTGTTTTATAACAAGAGAAAAGCACTTTAACCTGGTGTCTTTTCACATTTTAGATTTTAAACTGTCCAAGCTATTGTATAAAAATGCAACTGATTTGCCAAGTGATTCTGTGGCCCATGTTTAAATTACAATAAATATGACATGGTTTCTTCTCTGTTTGTCTTCCAGTTGATGGCTGCACAGACTGGTCCATAGACTACCTGAAGTACCAGGTACTGGTTGGGGAGCCTGTCAGACTGAAGTGTGCTCTGTTCTATGGGTACATCAGGGCGAACTACAGCCAGGCGCAGGGCGTGGGCCTCAGCCTCATGTGGTACCGCAGCTCTGGACTGGGGCACAGTGACTTTGAGGAACCCATCTCCTTTGATGGGGTGAGGATGAGCAAAGAGGAGGACTCCATCTGGTTCAGACCGGCCGACTTCCAGGACGTGGGGCTCTACTCCTGTGTGCTGCGGTAAGGCCTTGAATGGATTCAAGCTAAATAAACTTTATTAAACTCTAAAGCTAAAGGGCAATTATTATAGCCTTTGATAGGTTTGAAGTCAACAAACATTTATTATTATTATATATTTATATATTTATTATATATTTATTATTATTATTATTATTATTTGACTCCTGCTAAAACAAACTTCATGATTCACAACATGTCAGCTCCATTCAAAAGCAAAAGTCACACCCAAAGCTGTGGTTTACAAACTGAAAGGAGTCTATAAGGTTACTATTGACAGGAATGATAACAAACCTTCCAAGCTTTCAATACCCCATCGTAATACCATGTTCTCTGTGTTTAAACATCCAGATTCCTTTGAAAATTGCCCAGGTAATTCTCATTTAAATGCCACGTGAACTCCATTTAAACACACACAATACTGTATATTAGCAAGCCATTGCACTACGAGTCTCCTAATACCAGATGCATAATTATGTGGCAGTAACTTATTAACCTTTACAGTGGAGAACATCCCTCTGTAAACGCCTCATTGCAGCGCCTCATCTCACAGAGTTTTTAATAATGCCGTTAAAGGCCCCTTAAAGAGCGCGAGCTGCTCGGAGAGTACATGGGGCATGACTGGAGCCGGCCGTTTGTGTACAATGAAACCCCAGCCTATAGTGCATTTCATTACAGCTCTGTGTAGGAATAAAGGCCTTTCACAAACATTGCACTATTCCCATAGTGAGTCTGCTGTATTCATGCATTTTACATTCAAGCCGGCACAAAGAGGAGAGGATGAGTTAAAATAACATTCTCTGGTTGAGCTTGGAGGATAGAAAAACGCCTAAATATAAGAACAAAGTGCTTCAGAATTACATCAAGAAGAAATCAGTTGCGCTGGGAAAGAGTTTTAGCATACAGATTTCAAACATTATAATCTGAAATGTAACAAACAACCTATCTTATAATTTCACTCTTTTAAAGTAAAATTATGTAACTTTTTTGGTGGAAGTTTCGCTGCCTGCTTGTTTTATGTTCCACATGTTAAAAAATCTTGAAATACATCCCTTTCTTCTTCATACATGTTTTCCACTCCATAGATCTGGACTATAACCTGGCCTGGTGGTGTCACATTCTTGTCTCAACAGAGATAGATAGTTTAATACCAAACTGAAACAGAATATTTGAGGCAAAGAAATGGAGACGCATAGTTCACGTACCCTCCACCAGAAAAGTTAGAGTGCCCTTTTAAGACTACATACAGAATGTGAGGCCACATTTAGTATTGCATTGTCAAATTCAGCCCTGACAACATTTCCCTACAAAAATAAATGCTTGCTCTGGGTTTCTTTAATATTGTCCACACTTGTCCAATGCCAAAAACATTATTCTTACAAACAGTGACACAATGTTGCACTGCACAGCATAATTTTGTTATGTCTCTTAAGAATGGAAAAGTGCCTCTAGCTCTGTATTAGAAAAGTTAGTTTCTGGGCTACCTGCAAATAAGTCAGTTTTGAGAGCATGTTTTCCCTCCAAGTAGTTGGAACTGCTTTATAATATGCACAATTTCATACAGCCTTCTGGTTTTTGAATAGCAAATGTGTGTAGTACTGCAACCTTTTAATATTGCATACTCTAGCATGTGGAGAGATGCACACTACACTCTAGTTTAGATTTGTTACCTTTTTTCAACTTGTGTACCATATGTGAGTAATCAAACACCTTCATGTTAAATCTCCACTGAATCCTTCCAGCTGTTTCCCTGTGTAAGAGATATAAAGGAGCAAAGAATGTGTGAAGTGTGTATCCTGCCCACTGTATGTGCACGGTCATACTTATCTTTGTCCTTCTCTGTCTTCAAATTTCAGTCTAATCGCTGCTTGTGTGAAGGTGACTTCATTTACATAGCAATCTCTGGGCTTTTCTTTTGCCTGGCCTCTCTCTCCTCCTTCCTCCCACATGTCAGCTCTCAAGTGGGGACCTAGGGTGTGTACCTCACCTCCAGTTCCATCAATCTTACTTCTTCTGCAATTCATATGCCACGGTGCTTCCATTTTTCACTGGATAAATAATTTTCTAATAAGTCTGGTAATGAGACACAGTTGAACCACTTGTATTTGCTTCCTGTGATCATGCAATAGGCGGCATAATGCGTGGAGAATTACAGCTAATAACTCCACGGAAATAGAATGTGACAGACGTGAAAGACGTCCACAGAAGCGCGCGTCCACCCCCTCGCTGTCCATCAATCAAACACCACCTCTGACACGTTTCCCACAATGCCACGGGGCGCCTGTTGTGAATATTTAACATGCAAACGCCGTCTCACCACTGGCTCCAGGGGGATTTGGATGGCTCAGGTGTGCGACTGCAAGAGGTCAGTCCTGATCGTCTTCCTATTATGTAAACAAGCGTCAAAGATTGATTCTGGTGGATTTGATGCTATGTATGTATGTATGTCCACATGCAGTGATGGGAAGAATACCTGAATTAAAATGTATTTTGTAACATATTCTGATGTATAGTTTAATCAGAGTACTTTTACCTCAAATTTCATTTAAATTATAGTGTAAAGACGCAACATGGTATTAAAAACAGCATCATATTTGTTTCACCATTTGTTGTGCATATTTTTATCACTGATCAGAGAAAGAATAATTACACTCGAACGCACCACAAGAGCAGTCTTTATTATTTTTCACCGATTATGTGCAGTGTGAAGCCTTAACTGTGTGATCAAGTACCACCGTGTATTCCTTTGATTTTAGAAATACCAAATGAATACCCCTAAATGAAAAAGTAACTGTACCTGAATACAGTTATATAAATTAGTATTCTCTGTACATGTTTTTAGTTACTTCCCAGCACTGTCCACATGTGGTAGATGTAGTACAGCGGTTTTGTTTGTTGTTCGCAAAAATATACCACTCAACTTAGCAAGCCTTCCACTGCGAATCATCCCACTCTATTTGTTTCAGATAGCATTGGCGTCGATAACGTTAGATACCAGATCCAGGAGGCCAGCGCTCTGTTGCAATACCTGCATCTCACTTTTGCTTCCCACAGCATTTTCAAGACGTCCTTGGAGGCGTCTTCTCTGTAGTAGAAGCATAGACTGTTTTATTTTCCATTCCCTGTCTTATATTCTCCCTGTGTGCTCGATGCTTGCTCCTTCCTAGCATCGTTGCAGACAGCCGTAACATTAGTCAGTATAAAGGTGGGAGCATGCGCGCGTGTGTCAGTGTTTTATGGGTGCTGGGGTCAGAGGTGCTTATACGGCTGAGGTGACTCCCTTATTGCTTCCATAACCTGAGTAGATCATATGAAACCCTGTCATTTACACTCAATGGGAGCATCTGGCACTGTAAATGTAATATAATGAAAGCCCGTATGGCCAGAGCACACAGGTTGCTTTTACACACTGAGCAAGTCTTGACACATCCAAAGATTACACACCGCTATTCCATCAGTTTATGTTATGGCGGGCGTATACAGCTTTGACTTTTTGTCGTGAATTCTTCAAGTAGCACTTTGTAGTTCTGGGATCGTGAAAAAACACAAAGAACTCAGCTGTCATTCTTTCTCCCTATATAATTTAGCTGGCAGGTAAGTCATTAGAGAAGATAGCTCCCTAGAATATCTGTACTCAGAGTTGCGTTATCAACTATATGTTTTATGGTGCACATTTTTCAATTTGCCCAAAAGTAAACCACTTATTGCTGTTGATTTTCAAACTGTGATAACAATGTTTAATCTTAAAGGGCGCGTTAATTAATTAATTTTGTGATCTATGCTGTCTATGTAATGTTGTTTCCTCGTCACAAACATACCTGGAGTTGCGTTTTGTTTCTGTGGTGGATACCTCTGCCACCACTCCACAGTGTTAGATTTATTTGATTACATTTCATTTCATTTACATTAGGTTAATTGCAGCACAAATTTAATTCCTTTATTTAAACTTATATTCTAATTTGTGTGCATACATTTTAGTTAATATAAGTCTGACTTATATTACACTTGTTATTTTTGTTTGAGTGGCCAAGTTTGAGGACCCTCATTTTCTAGTTTGTTTAAGATCACTTTATTATCACTTATTATTTTCTGTATTATACTTATTTGCCTTCTTGTTATTTTGACTAAGTTAGTAGTTTTAGTTAATTATTTAGTGTAATTACTCCCTCTTGTGTTCAGTTTTAGTTGTATCATGTATTTAAACACCCCTCTTCTTTGTCTGGTTGGGTTAGTTTTGTTCTGCTCAGTTTGATTTAAGTTACCGCAGTTGGGCCCAGCTTTTTGTTAATGATTTACCTAATTTCAGCCTTTGTTAAATTACTTTTTTTTTTTTAAGACTTTATTAAATTTAAACTTATTTTTATACCTTGTCTTTGCCTTTCTGTTTGGTCCACTACAGTTTCATTCACACATGAAACACACAAACCCTGCATATTTTGGTTCTTCTCTTAAAATAGAAAACACTTGTGCTGCCATGTGGTAATACAGGTACAAGTGCTCCACTGTGTTTTTAAACTCCATACACCTTCACTAGAATCATTTGGATGATTTCAGACCTGGAACGGCCAATCTCTGCTGAACTAAAGGTAAAAGGTAGCTGTTAACTTGAAAACTACTGCTTCATTTCATCAGAAGGTGGAACAGAGCAGTTTGAGCTTTGAAGATGTAGACAGATTAATAATAAAAGGTTACTCAAACACAACTTTGGGTATAATTTTGAGAAGGTCAAAACATTCTTATATGGCTTAAAGCTCTTTTTTCGTTTTGCGTAATATAGAACCTTTAACACTCCATGTGAATAATAATATCCAATAACTCTTAAGTAAGAATTTAGATTATCAATTAGTGCCATTATATTTTCAGGTTTTAGTTCTGTTTATGTCCAAATCATCCAACAAAAACATTCACAATGGGTACAAATTGATCTTCAAATATATTTTATATTCAAATACCGCTCAATTCAACTCAAGTTTGAAATCATTCAAAGTTCTCACCCCACTAGTTGGAAAACACTGTAATAATAACCCACAAACTGAGAACAAGAAACCTTTTATTGTGAGTCATTGTTCAAAAGTCAAATAGCAGGGGCATGGAGAGAGCAAAGTTACACTGTGCTGCTTCAACGAATGAGTCATGACAGCTGATTTATTTGTTCTTTTTGTCACTTAAGCCTTCACACAGTTCCGCCATGTTGGAAAAAAGAGCATTTGCCATATCTCCATCACCTCACCTGAAACCGCTTTAGCCACAGATCACTTCAGACGCTTCACTAGACCTTTCCCATTGATTCTTAAGTGTGTCACAAATGTAATGTAGCATCCCGTGGGGAATACCGTGTTCTGGGAGCACTGGGACGGCATTATGTCAGCACTGATGAGCTCTCGAATGATAATGATTGCAGCCGCGTTTATAAGAGCACCGCAAAGGGAGGGGGCGGCGGAGACAGTTACTCAGAAATGATGTATGATGGGGGGGGGAGGGGGTTGGCGTGTGTATGGGGCATGTTGTGATGACCAAGCTGCTTTTCTCTTCCTGGATGAGGCTGTCTTAGTGTTTCTGTGATTAGCATCCATGGGCCCAGATAACTCCCCCCATAAATCCAATAGCGACTGCCTTGAGCGCGAGGCATTGACTCAAGTAAGCCTCTGAACGTGTCATTATTGCTAACCCAGCAAACGTTAATGTTAGAGGCAGATGCAGCAGCAACCATGAAAGGACTAATAAGGCAGGAGAAAATACTGTTATTTTGTTTAAGTTGTTTTATTTAAGTGTGGTAACTAATCACTAATACAAGCAAATGAATCTTAGACATGTCCAGACATTAAATGCTTACATGGAGATTTGCTCATGCCTGCCTGAACCATGACTCATAGCCAAAACCCACACCTACAGCTGATGAGTATCAACTAGGGATGTAACAATAACCGAAAAATCGTGATATTGTATCGTCAAAGTTCTCACAATAATATCGTGGACCATCACAATATATCAAATTACAAGTCTCTTTGGAGTTATGGTGCAGCAATAGCTAAACAAAGACAGGGGGAACTACATAGACCATGATCCTTTGCTCGATTTCAGTGTAGACTATAATAGATAATAGGGATAACAATTCTAAGCACTTTTAAGTCTTAGTTTTTTGGATTAAGTCTTGTCAAGGCATTTTAAGAGGAAAAAGTAAGATATTAACAGTTTTGTTATCCTCCACAAAAGATCACAATAAATATCGTACTGTGAGATGCATTTTGTGAAAATATCGTACTGAGAGATTTGGATATTGTTACATCCCTAATCGTGAGTCTCCCTTCCATATCGTGAGCTTTCCCACGATATCGCAATAAATATCATACCGTAGGGTTCATACTGTGACGATATCGTATCGTGAGACTTGGATATCGTTACAGCCCTCGTATCAACCAAAGAGTATGTACAACAAAACCAATACAATTCAGGTGACATACTGTTACTATCTTGATACTTGATACGTGACACTTTAATCTCTGGTGTTTGTAAAAAAAATAAATAAAAAAAAAAGCCCCTGAAGAAGGGCTTGCGTTGGCGTCTCTTACTCTAAAATAAAAGACTTTTAATTATGTCAAAGTGCCTCCGATTTTATATCCTCACCTACACACTATGAAAGGTATTATTGGTCTTTTAATAAGGTTCTCCAGTGCCAATTACTTACATTTCCCTAAAACACAAATTCTGTTCAAATCACTACTAGATAAAACATTCACACCTTACTCAAATCCTCACTTTGTCTAATTAAAATCCTATTAACGAGAAGAAAGGTTGTCAGCAAATTAATACAAAATAACTTGTGTCTGTCCATAGGAACTCTACTTACTGCATGAAAGTGTCCATGTCTCTGACTGTGGCGGAGAATGACACAAACCTGTGCTACAACTCCAACATGAGGCGGATGGAAAAGGCGGAGCTGAGTAAGACCAAAAACATCACCTGCCCCAACATCGAGGACTATGTGGAGCCGGGCAAGGAGTTGGAGATCACATGGTACAAGGTGAGAAAACTATTAAACTATAGTGTGCCTATTAATTATTTTATTATTTTAATTACACATTCAACCTTGTTCATGTTTTTTTTTTCTTCAAACGTCTGTGGCGAACTAGAACAGTTATAGTAAAAATATAGGTGTCTTGAAATAGTTTAAGTGAGAATTGTACTCTGTTATTTAGTACTCCTTGATATATATATATATATTACAGTACAGTATTCTGAATGATAATATTCTGAAGTACAGGTGCAGATTCTGCATACTTCATTCCTTTCAAATAATCCATTAAAACAAAGTACTCTCCCTGAATCATTAAATCTTTATATTGCCAGTATTATTTTTCCTGTGTATTTCCAATCAGAAATTCTCCAGGAATCCAAGCATCTATGGCCCGAGGTCAAGCTATTCACTGTCACATCCACAAGGAGAGAGCAAGTTTTTAAACAATTTTGTAGGATTATATTGCGATTCATTACGATACACAATACATTATCATGGCTATGGATACGATACGACCATTACCGATATTACTAGGATATAGCGATACATATGATAACCAATATATTGCACACAGGATTCTGCCACTATTACTAATACTAAGTGTTTCTTTGTTAAACCATTACCTGTGCAAAGTCAATCTGGAATAAATCAGTTGTAATCACTGAAACAGTGAATATGTCAAGTGTATTCCATGAACAAATTTCCTTTCTCTGAAACAAAACTGTAGCACTGTTTCAAAATTATTTAGTAAAATATACCTAAAAATACTCATATATGCTGCATCGATATATTGAAGCAGCAGCCCACGATAACAATACTGTTTCACCAAGTTTAGTATCACGATATGTTGATATTTCAATATCTTAGCACACCCCTAGATTGTATACAATATGATTTTGACATTATATTGGTCTGTTATTTTCATTATTTAAACCACAGAGGTCATATGCAGTGACAGCTTTACTAATGAAAAGCTTTGAGAGCCTGTTATCAGCCTCTTCCCTTAAGAAGTAAGTGTCCTCCAAAAGCTCCTTGTACCTTATATCTATTCAGCCTACACCTCCCTCACATGTCACCTGCTCCTTCTTCCTGGGTCAGATATAGCCGGCGGTCAACAAAGTGCATTTTCAAACCAGGCCAGACTAATCACAGGTAGATTACCACTTGATTAGCCTGACCTCGAGATTTTTCCCACAATTCAATTAGGTTCTGGGTAATGACTGGGAGCTGGAACATACAGTTATTTGGAACCACCGCCAAACTAGAGTGATTGAATTTAAAGGTTTGCCTCGAAGCACTGGTGGAATAGGATACACTGTGTTATCGTCTTGGGAATGGAAAGAGGATCATGGCATAGACTTGATACCTCCACCCACACTCTGGAACACACACATTTCAACACAACAGAGGCACACCTGTGTTGTCGTTGGAGACCTTGGTAAATAACATTGCACGTCCTAGGTGGCCTTGCCAGATTATTGAAAGGAGAATATTCTGTTCAGTGCAATAAATCTTAATCAGATAAACAGGATAGTGGTCTAAGCTTTATCATTTTAAAATATAGAATTTTACATAATGGCATCCTTACTCCTAATGGTTCATGACATTTTATATGCTTTGGGAAATACTCATGGGCAAAAGTCACGTCTGGATCAGCTGCCATTTTGTTTATATGACAATTTGATGGATTGTTCAATATGTGAATATGGTCAGGAGTTACCTGTGCGTGTTTATGTGATGTGCAGGAATGCCGTCCGAAGCAGTGGCGAGCCAGCGTTCTCTATAAAGGAACCAATCTGACATTTGAAGAGGTGACGGAGGAGGACATTGGAAATTATACTTGTGAGGTGCAGTTTGGAGGCTTTTTGGTCAGAAGGACGACAGAGCTCATTGTCACTGGTAAGTCTCAATAGTTGATAGGAATTTTATGACAGTACACACTTTGTATTACACATCCATATTTGTGCTTTAAAATATTAGAAAAAACAACTCACAATTTGCTTGTCATGAAGATTTGACAAAAATAATCAAAACTAATCACTCTTAAGTTTATCTGAAGTCTTCATCACCTCCAGAGAAAACAAGATATTTTACTGCTGGTTAGATTAAAGGGCATATGACAGATTTTCATTGTTCTCTAATTTTGATGCAATTTGGTGGGATAATATCTGGTGTAAATAAAAATGATAATTAAAAATTTGTCAGGAAGCAATTTGTGAAGAAAAGTTGAAAAATATGTTGGAAATTATCAAAAGTGGAGAGGTCTAAACATGTCACTTTAGGGACAGTTGTATGCACTATTTACACGCAAGTTTTGTTTTTTTCTGATAAAGGTATTTTCTTACATGTGTATTAGTCAGATACCTGTGTACAGGAGTTTTGCTAGGTAACAAATGTAAAATTCACACTTTTGATATCATGATTTCTAACCAGGGTGTAAATTTTTAGCCTAAAAAATGCCTAATTGGGAAAACAAGTATGAATGTGCAAAAATCTTAAATATAATGATTGTAACTGTTTTAGTGAAATGAGTGGCACTTTAAGGTCTATGATAAAATGATAAAATGTAACTGATATATTTGCACTTGACAGAAATGTTTTTGATACTGCATAAAGAAAGTAGCATTAATCCCAAAGAATCTACTCTATACTATACATTTTATTTACGTCTTTTTTGAGCAACAGTGAAACTGAGTCCTGATGGGTGCGCGTTACAGTTTCTGAAGCTTAAGTAAAAGCTTGCGTGTGATAATGGGCCTATCCATTGCCGCTACACATCGGTGGAGGATACCGCAGTGACATCCCGCTGTTCTGTTAATTGCTGGGGGAAGTTGAACGCTGTGGTCTGGCTTCTATCAGTTCCCCCCAGCTCAGCACTTTGCAGCCAGGCGAGCTACAGTGAAATATTTAAGGCTATAGGCTAAAACCCCCTCACACACAAAGCTAAAGAGCCAAGAGCAAGGTCACAAGATTTACAGTACTCTGGCCTGAGCGTGGTTTCTATCCATCTCTCACACTGCTGCAGGTGAGCGGCCCTAAATGCACTCGTTTGTTGTTTTTCAGCCTGAGTGGAGACCAGAGCTGGAGCCAGGACTGGGTGCTTTTAGCCCCGGTGGTCCAGATGGTCAACTGCTCTGATTAAGGTTAATGAGAGGACTACAATAAAGAGGAAGATGAACTGAGTTTAAAAGAAGTAGGCTAAGGTTATTAGTCAGTGGTCTATTTAACAGCTTCTTGGTCTTTTGACGCAGAGCAGAGTAGACTGTTTGAAAATGTAAAAGTAATGGTGAAAACACTGCAGTCATAATAGTAGAAGATGAAGGCCTGTCACAATGTTAGGCTACGATATTGCCTTATTGTTCAATGTATGAAAGCTGGAACAATATTTTTTGGAGGTCAGTATTTATCATGCATGCTTTTTCTTTGCAGCACTGGGGATTTTATTTTATTTTTTTCTGGCTATACAATAAGATTTAAGTCAAACAAGGTTGAATGCATAACTTCTATTTTTCTTATTGCAGATGCAAACTAATCACTAAAGTGTTTTTTTCTGCTATTTATTTATTGCAGCTCATGGTTTTTTAACAACATTATATTTTTAGAATAGCTGTTGTGGGATAATTCTGCTCTTGGGTTATTGTGTCAGTCACATAAATTCGTTTCAGTATTATTGTTTATATTTAATTCAGCAATACATTGCGCTTCAAAATTTGTTTTCGTGACAGGCCTATGTAGTAGCAGTTGTAGCAGGTGGGGTAGTTCTGGTAATGTGTCTTCAAGTTGAATACAAATGTTATCAGGTGTGTATGTTTTTAGCCTCTACACACAACCCGATTCCACTGATATTTCTCATGTGCTCTGCCCAGGAGATGATGAGTATCTGGGCTGGGGTTTATTTGTGTGGTCGGCCATTGCTCTTCTGTGATGTGAGTCTGATAACGTGTGAGGTCGGCAATTTGTTATCTCGCTAAGATCCAACATGAAGATACAGGTTCTTGTACATGGTTCACAGACCAGGCTAAAGTGGCAGCGTGGAGGGTTTCACTAATAACAGATCAGCATCAGTGCAGCAGATAAAGACAACGTTAGATTTTATAGTTGGGGGTAGGGATGTCAAGACTGTATGATTAATCTATAGTTGTGATTATCCAGGTCACAGTATCATAAGAATACAAAATCTATACATCCCATATACTGGGGGAATCGTCATTTATTAGACAAAATGAATGAAACTGAATGATTTGATGATTAAATGGACAATAATTGTTAAATTGTGGTGTGTTTTCTCAAAATTTATTACATAAAAATGACAAAAAATCTCCCTACTGTTGCGAAGAAATTGTATACACGATAAATACTGAGCTCCAAATATATTATTCTAGCTTTCATGAATTGAATGATAAGTCGTGACAGGCCTATGCAGCACAATGCAGTATTTACTAAGTATATGACTGTTGTTGTTGACCATGTACAGTGCATGAGGCTTACACCTACTATGATGTAATATTGAATCATTGTACATTGTTACTGACAAGAGTGCCAGTCAAATGGACAAACTGACCAATAGAAGAGGTCAGTTGAGGGCCGGCTGTCCCCTATCCCCTCTGTATCCAACGGCTGCAAGCCACACTGTGTCTGGTGTTGATTTGTGTGGTGCTGTGTGCATGTTTGTAAATCCACTCCATGGCTTTAGACTGTCTCCATGACCCCAATGTTCTATAATGACACTGACCATAAAACTTTATTGGCTGATAAATTTATTGTATAGCTCATGTTCCAAATACACAATATGGAGGCGGGCATGGGCAGAGGTGAAGTGTACTTTGTATACCAGTATTGCTTTATTATGAATACAAATTGGCAATGAAGGAATTAAATACAACATTCAGATTTGTAGCCTTCGTTGTCCTTGCTGGCGGACTTGCCATCTGCCTTTTTTGATGGTGGAAACTGGAACGCTGAAGACCCATCTAGAACATACAAACTCTACACAAAAGGCTTGGAAGTAGAACCCGAAAACCCTCTTGCAGCAAAACGAAAATGCTACCATATGTCTTTACAAACAGTACTTATTCATTAGTTAAATAACAAGAACCTTTTACATCTGCTAATTTGGATATTATAAAGTATAGTTTTTAGCGCTAGTATTAAAAAAACAGGCATTTATTCACTGTCACATTTGATAAGCCATTTTTCATAACACTTGTTCATATTTGGATGGTTTAAAAATACAGTACTAACAACTCTACAACTACCTGCATCCAACATAACCCTGTGTGTAGCCTTACTCCTTGCGTATTGCTGCTTATATTGGTCCCAACATACACCTGCAGTCTTCAGGACGCATGTTCTCTATAATGAAACATCAATAAGTCATCAAAACACAAAAAGTAATTTTACGTGACAGCCACATTGCTATGCTTGGCTGCTTGAATCCTGGAGAGAAATCTTGAGCAAAGGTATTGTGCGTGTGTGTGTGTGTGTGTGTGTGTGTTTGACTGTGTGCTCCAGATTGAACCATTTACATAAAGAACATCATCTCTAATATGAAGTTAATGTAGTGCTCTCCAAATGCTCCATGTGCGATTGACCCTTTTTCTTTCACATTTGTTTGATAACTTGTTAGCCGTATAAAAAGCATTTGTGTCGAGAAAAATACGCCAATTGTGCCTCAATAACTCTGCAGCGCTTGCTATAAAAATGTGCCCATGCTTTATCACTAGAGCATTTTGCCTGATTACAATAGCAGTTAGATGGCGATTCTTTAAAGCTGGAGTATCCCAATAGAACCATTTTTAGGCCCGTTCTGGCTTTAGGCTCATTTGCTTTAATAAACCTACACATCATCATCCCCTCAAGTGGGCGTGAGATTACCCACTTTTTATCAGGGCCCTGTAAAAACTGACATTGCCTCTGCCTAAAGCATAAAAATGAAAAAAAGTGTAGTTTTGTTTGATAGGGCAAAGAGGATGAATGGGGTTGTTAAGTTTAACTGATCTTAAATATACGGCAATAGACACTGGCCTTTAGCGTGACCCCGCACAGTGCTACATATTGCACCTGCATCTTCAGTTCTGACCAGGGCGCACCATGTAACAGCCCCCATTACGGAGGAGGATGGAGAGGACGGGCGCAGAGCTATGGGCCAGGGTCAGTGGCGTAATAGAGGTTAACTATGGGCATAAACACAGCAGCCCAGTTCTGAAAGCACCTTAATCAAGAGTTGATACTTGGCGGCTTAATAGAAATGTAGAGGAAACACTGACCCCTCTGCCCTCATTTCATGTTCTCTCACTTTATGACCTGGAAGCTGCATTTGTACAATATGGATATAATTTATGAACATAAAGCAAATACAGGGTAATACAGATAAGTATTTTTATCTCAAGTAAAATTCCTGAAATCCCTGAGAGATACTCCAGACAGCTTGACTTCAGTATCTTCTAGTCCAGGGTAAAATGTATTATGGCTCATAACAGCACTTATATCTGACAATATAAAAAAATAAGAAAAAGTTGATGTCTTGTGGGGCTGTGTAATATTAGCAAAATTAATGTTGTAATTTTTTTTTGTTTTTATATTTTCATAGCAGCTTCTAATATAGACAGCATTCTTAATATTTTAATCTTGTATGTATTCGAAACACTGGTTTGCTATTCCTTTTACTTTTTTACATGTTCTAAAATTAGTTTTAATGGTATAAAAATACACAAAATAAAGTAAACATATTAGCAATAAAAACATACACAGCAGTATTTTATTATGGCATCTACTAAAGTTCTTGTAATACTATCTTGCTTATATGGTGGTTTGTTGTCCTTAAACATCTGTCTGACACTCTGTCTGCTATGGAAGTAATATACTGAAATGTGCATCCAATACTGCCGTCCTATCACTAA